AACTTGCAAAAATATAAGTTGGTTGGTGAATGTCTTTTGCATCCACCTTGGTCTCTTTAAGCTACTTTTCTTGTTGGAATTGTTTCTCTTTTGCCTTCAAAAGTCCCCTTTGAGAATCTCTCGTCTCTGCTGGTTGACTGTTCAGATGTTTTTCAGTTGTGTCCAACTCTTCACGACCCCATTTAGGGTTTTCTTGGCAAAGATACTGGAGTGGTTTGCCATTTCCTTCTCCAGCTCATTTGACAGATGAGGAAACTGAGGCAAATAAGGTTAAGTGACTTGCCCAGGGTCACACAGTAATAAGCATCTGAGGCCAGATTTGAACTCACAATCCACATCTATCCAAAGCGCCACCTAGCTGTCCCTGGGTTGACTGCCGCTATAGAATTTTGACCCATGGGATCTCCTCTATCTTTCATCTGAACATTTTGAAGTCTGTTCTCCCAAAATCTAGGGGATGCCACTATGGTCAGATGCTTCTTCCCTACCACAAATTCTAAGATGAAGTGGTGACTTCACCAAAGAGTTCCCATCCCAACTTGACCGATGAGTATCCGGTTAAAAAAATGTCGTTCCCTTTATTAATTCTTTCAACTTTTTATGGATGAAATTATCATTAAGGCAAATCTTATCAACTTGTCAAAATTCTCAGCTGGTCTCTTGGCAGAGAACTCTAGTAGATATCTAAACAATTGACAATTAACAATTGACTACGGGTTGTCTCTCCTTACTAGATTATAATTTCTGTCTTGCTTTTGTATTTGTAGCCTCGATGCATAGTCAATCAATAAAGTAGCATTTATCAAGCACCTACTATGTGCCAGGCACTGTGCTAAGCACTGGGGCTACAAAGAAAGGCAAAAGACACCCCCTGCTTTCAAGGAATTAACAGTGTAATGGGGAGCCAGCAGGCAAACAACTATGTACAAACAGGATCGATACAGGAGAAATTGGATGGAATCAATAAGGGGAAGGCGTTAGCATTGAGAAGTATCAGGAAAGGCTTCTTGAAGAAGTTGGGCTTTTAGCTGAGACCTAAAGAAAGCCAAGAATCCATCCAGGAGGCAGAGAGGAGGAGGGACAGCATTCCCTGTATGGGAGATAGCCATTGAAAATGCCCAGAGACAGGAGACAGAGCGTCTTACTGAGGAACAACAAGGAAGCATCACTGGATGGTAGAGTATAAGATGTAAGAAGCCTGGAAAGGTAGAAAGAGGCCAAACAGATTTTATATTTGATTCTAGAGACGATAAGGAACCATTAGACTTGATTAAATGGGGGAAAGAAGGAAACACAGTGAGACTTTAGGAATATCAATTTGACAGCTGATGAACTGGAGGATGAACTGGAGAGGGGAGAGATGAGGCAGAGACCAACAGGCTATTGTAACAGTCCAGGACTGAAGTGATGAGCACCTGCGCCAGGAAAGCTGTTCCCTCAGTGTCAAAGAAGAGAAGGGGGCATATCCAAAAGATATTGAGCAGATAGATAGGACAGAACCTGGCAGCCGATTAGATATGAGGGGTAAGAGAGAAGGAAGAGTGTAGGATGTCAAGTAGGTTTCAAGCTTGGGCAACTGAGAGGGACAGCAGTGCCCTCAATTGTAATAGGAAAGTTAGGAAGAGAGGAAGGTTTGAGGGCAAAGATAATAAGTTTGGTTTTGGACATGTTGGGTTTAAGATGTCTACAGGACATCCAGTTCAATACGTCTAATAGCCAGTTGTTGCAAAAGACTGGAGATCAAGAGAGATTAGGGCTGAATAAATAAATCTGAGAATTATCAGCATAAAAATGATAGGTGAATTCATAGGGACTGAATTCACCAAGTGAAACTGTGGAAGAGGGAGGACAGAGCCTTGTGAGACATCTATGGTTAACAGAGTAACCTGGATGAAGATCCAGCAAAGGGGACTGAGGAGTGGTCAGACAAGGAGGTGAAGAGCCGAGAGAGAGAGAGAGAGAGAGAGAGAGAGAGAGAAGGGTCCCTAAAGCTTAGAGAGAAGAGAAGATCAAGAAGAGGTGAGCAATGACGCCAAAGGCTGCCGAGAGGTCAAGAAGGATGAGTATTTGGTGATTAGGAGATCATCAGGAAGTAACTCTGCAGAATTTCCATTGAATGATGAGGTCAGAAGTTAGACTATGCCAAGTACAGATGAGAATGTAAGGAAAGGAAGATCGTTACTAGTTGGCACAGTGCCTGGCATATCATGAGCACTTAATAAATATTCACCATTCATTCATTCATGGGATAATAATAGCTAGCATTTATATAGCACTTTAAGGTTTGCAAAGCTCTGTAAATATCTCATTTGACCCTAAAAACAACCCTGGGAGGTAGGTGTTACTATTATCCTCATTGGAGAAACTGAGGCAGCCAGAGGCTAAATCACTTGCCTGGGGTCACATAGCTGACAATTGATACAGGGTTTGATTTGAGGTCTTCTGGAAAGGACCTCCAAAGCCCTGGAGTCCAACCCCCTCATTTTACAAATGAGGAAACTGAGTTTGTAATTTGCCCCAGATCACATAGGTAGTGTCAGAGGCAAGATTTGAACCTAGGTCGTCTGATTCCAGAGATAGTTCCCTTTCCACTATACAATGCTCCCTGCTGTGTTATACTTCCATAATAGATTTGTGATTTTTTTTTTAAACCAAATTTTTCACTTGCTTCTTTTCTGCCTCAGTGATCTGGTGACAATGCCACCTCTCCTTTCTGCCCCCACTGATGTGTTCCACCACGCCTCCCCTTGCCCTTGATCTTGGGTTCCCACACATGAGTGTATCTTCCTAACACAGGGTTGTCCCAAAAGTCTTGGTGCAGTTTAAAACCTCAACAAGCTGGGAAAGCTCATCCACAGTCTTCACAGCTTAAAATTACATTAAGACTTTTGGGACACCCTATATAGCATGCTACCTCACCTTTTTCCTCTTCTGGTTTATTTATTTGTTTTTAAATAAAGCCCTCCAGAGCCACACTCAGGACTCAGTGATAGTCACCATCTCAAATGTGTCTCCTTCCACTAGGATCATTAATTCACTTTACTTGTTCCCTACACTTTTCACATTTGTAAATGTATGTACATATGGATGCTTTCCCCTCAATGACTCCACCCCTGGGGCCCGGCTCCCACTTCCTTTCCATCTCAGGACATCCACTGAGAATGGAATCTATACAGTAAATAGCAAAGCAATCTGCATCCTGATGGCTCAGTTCCTGTAAGGAAATAGCCATCAATGAAACCCTATTCCCCTAGGTTAACAGAGCTATTGAAAACTCTAGTTCTTCAGTTTCTGCCAAGAATCTAGTTAGGGAACGCTGCATCTCAACCCCATTTTTTTTGAACATTGCCCCGGCCCTTTGCCTCAACCCCCTACCTTTCCTCCCTGCTCCAAAGTCAACCCAGTCAGTCCCAGGGCTGGGAGCCCCTGACTGTTCCGCAGGATTTGCTGCCACCAGCTGGTCGGAATTGGCATGACAGTTCATCACAGAGGAACTTAACACAGTCCCGGAATCCCGAGACTGGCCGATGCTAGAAAGACTGAGCCTCGTTGCAACTTTTAAAGGTCTAGTCTGTTTTGCAGATGAATACACAGAGGCCAAGAGAAGTTAAGAGGTTTGCTCAAGATCACGAAGCTATTAAGGGGCAGAGCTGGAACCCCTCCCCCTCCCAGGGTTTTTTTCCCTGGACTGATGCAGCTACTCCCAAATAAACCTAATAAATAAATAAGCCTCATTTGCTCATCAGTTATTCCTTCTCCAGCCTCAGAGAAGGATTGGGTCTCTCCCTTCATAAACAGGGTTTGGGTTATCATAAATACAAAAGTGGGCATTCTATTTTTTAAAAAAATAAAATAAAACAAACATTTCATTGGAAGGGTTTTAAAAAGCAACAACATTGTTATCACTTCCCACTGTCCTCTTTCCTAGCCCTACCCCTCAGGTAGACATCTCCCTTGTAACAAAGTAACTAAACATAACAAATAAACCTAGATCAAGTCTGACGTTGTATGTTTCACTCTGTGTGCATAGTCTCCACCTCTCTACCTAGAAAAAGAAGTCCAGGGGCAGCTAGGTGGAGTAATGGATAGCGCATCAGCCCCGGATTCAGGAAGACCCAAGTTCAAATCCAGCCTCAAACATAGAGCACTTGCTAGCTGTCTGACCCTGGGCAAGTCATTTAACCCTATTGCTTAAGAAAAGGAAGTCTATCCTGTCTGCAATACATTTTTTTGCTTATCTCATTAACTATTTCCCAACTACATGTAAAAAAATTTTGACATTCTTTTTTTTAAATTACGAGTTCCAAATTCTCTCCCTCCAACCTGCCCCTCCCCCACCCCTTGAGAAAGCAAGCAATATGATATGCTTATACATGTGAAGTCATGCAAAACATATTTCCATATTTGCCATGTTCCAGCCTGTTCTTAAGAGAAATTCACAATGCTCATCCACTTACAAATCTCTTAACTAAGTAGGTTCGCTAAGGGAAATCTGAATGTTTAACTTAAATTTTTCCATACTATAAAACCAATCTTTTTTTTTCTTATTTTGTCTCCACAGTTAATAATTATAACAATGAAGCCTTATATTTCTCTCCTGCGGTCTTTTATCTTTCCCAACGGTTATCTCACTTTATTCTCACAACAGACCCCTGTAGAATAGGGAGGACAAGTTATATGATCCCTATTTCACAGCTGGAAAAGTAGAGAGCCAGGTTAAGTGATTTGTCCCAGGTCAAACAGCAAGCTGGGAGTAACACAAGGCCTAGATCTCATCTCTCACTCTCCGTCCCCTCCTGATTTCTTTCCACCAGAATATGCTCCAAAAAGTAACACTGTTCATCTCTAACACAGAAGAAAACAGGCTCGCTGGGACCCTCCCAAGGACCTTTCCCTATCTCAGTATGCCACAATATGCAGAGTAGTCTAACTTGTCCCTCTGTCCCCTGACAGTTGTCATCCCCAGACCCCAAACACACCCTCTTTCTTTGGTTCTTCAGCTTACCTGCTGAGTTGCAGCTTTCCTCAGCGCCCAGCCTATGGGGACGTGGCCGTCACGAGTCTTCACCCTGGTGGCAAAGCCCGCTTCCACTGTACAACCGGCTACCAGCTGCAGGGTGCCAGAGTCCTCACTTGTCTCAATGCCACCCGGCCCTTCTGGGACTCCCGGGAGCCCACCTGCATCGGTGAGTGACACTCTAAGAGCCAGGGCCCCCTAGGGCTGGGGACGTCATCCCTGCTGTCTTGTCTGGGGGGGAGGCCTAAGCCCTTCCCTGAGCCATCCCAAAGCCCTTAACCTGCGGCATCAGCAGGGAAGCCAGGAAAGGAGGAACAAAGGATGTGGCCTTTGGGACTTCTTTTTTGGAGGTTAGTTCAGGTCTGAGGCCGATCAATAGGCAGGGTCTCGTCTACTCTATTTGTAAAGGTGTTAAACCATCCCGTCAGAGCTAAAGATGTTTCTCTAGTGGTGGGAATAGGTCTTTGCTCCCTTACTTAGTCTCTCTGCACCCCTGCCTTGAACAAATGACTACCTGTACAATCGGAATATGTGTATATTTTGGACCAGACCTAGGATTTCACCGATGTTAGGGGACTCCTTGGAAGGAAATTCCCTCTCCCGATGCTCTGTCACTTACAGTCTTAAAGACTTGTCTAGCGCACTAAGAGGTTAGTGGGGGCAGCTAGGTGGCACAGTGGATAGAGCACCCGCCCTGGAGTCAGGACGACCTGAGTTCAAATCTGGCCTCAGACACTTGACACTAGCTGTGTGACCCTGGGCGAGTCACTTAACCCCATTGCCTAGCCAAAAACAAAAAACAAAACAAAAAAAAAGAAGTTAAGTGACTCGCCTAGGGTCACACAGCCACCATGAACTCAGGTCTTTCTGATTCTGTGACCAACCGTCCAGCCCCTATTACACACGGCTTCTCAGTAATTATAATAGCTCACATTCATTGAATGCTTTATAGGACAAATGCTTTACAAATATCATCTCCTTTGATCCTCACACCAACTCGGTGAGGTAAGCAGGGCAGGAACTATTAATGGTCCCATTTTACAGATGAGGAAGCAGCAAAGCCCGCAGAGAAGAGCTAAATGACCTTTCCGAGATGGGCAAGTTGGTTAATGGCTTAGTTGACGACTTTTACAGTCTCACAGGAAAGAAGGACAGATTAAAAGACAGGACAGATTATTGTCAACTTCGGTGTGTCATATTTGGAAAGCAATTTTCAGTTTCCCCATGCATTTGCAATCTCTCTGTGAGACAACCAATCAATCAGTAAACATTTATTAAGTGCCTACTATATACCAGGCACTATGCTAAGTGCTGGGGCAACAAAAAGAGGCAAAAGGCAGACCCTGCCCTCCAGGAGCTTACAATCTAATGGAGGAGACAACATGTAAACAAATATGTACAAAGTAAGCTAGATAGGGGATAAATAGGAAATAATTAACAGAGAGAAGGCACTGGAATTAAGAGGGCTTAGGGAAGGCTTCCTGTAGGAGGTAGGATTTTATTTTTTTTTTTATTTTCTTTGGTGAGGCAATTGGGGTTAAGTGACTTGCCCAGGGTCACACAGCTAGTAAGTATCTAGTGTCTGAGGCCAGATTTGAGCTCAGGTCCTCTTGACTCCAGGGCCGGTACCCTATCCAGTGCACCACCCAGCTGTCCCTGGGAGGTGGGATTTTAGTTGGGACTTAAAGGAAACCAGGGAAGCAGGCAGAACAGAGAAGGAAGAACATTCCAGACCTGGGGAGAATGCCCAGAGCCAAGAGATGGAGGGTCTTGTTTGTGACCCAGCTAGGAGGTCAGTGTCACCAGATCACGGTGGGGAGTAAGGCGTAAGAAGACTGGAAAGGCAGGAGGGGGCTAGATTACTAAGGGCTTTGGATGACAAGCAGAGCATTTTGTATTTGATCCTAGAGGTAATAGGGAGCCACTAGAGTTTATTGAGGGAGGATGGAGGGGTGACATGATCAGACCTCCCTTTTGTAAAAATCTCATTAGTGGCTAAATGAAGGATGGTTTGGAGTGGAAAGGGACTTGAGACTCACCAGCAGGATATTGCAGCAGTTCAGACGTGAGGTGAGGATGGCCTGCATCAGCAATGTCAGAAACAAGGGACTGTATTCTAGAGACATTGCAAAGATTAAAATCTATAGGCTTTGATATGGGAAATGAAGAGTCCAGGATGACCCCTAGGTTATCAACCAGAGGGACTGGGAGGATGGCATTGCCCTTGACAATAATAGGGAAAGTGGGGCAGCTAGGTGGCACAGTGGATAGAGCACTGGCTCTGGAGTCAGGAGGACCTGAGCTCAAACCCGGCCTCAGACACGTGATACTCAGTAGCTGTGTGACCCTGGGCAAGTCACTTCACCTCAACTCCCTCACCCCCCCCCAAAAAAAGTGACAATAATAGGGAAAATGGGTTTGGGGGAAAGAGGGTGGGTTCACCTTTGGACATGTTGAGTTTAAAATGTCTCCTGCATACCTATTTTGAGATGTCTGAAAGGCAGTTGGAGGTCAGCAGAGAAGCTGGAGCAGGAAAGGTAGATTTGAGAGTCATCAGCATAGAGATGGTAATTAAATCCACGGGAGCTGATGAGATGACCAAGTGAGGAAGTCAAGAAACAAGGCAGCCAGGATTATCCCCACTTTAGAGATGAGGAAACTGAGGTTCAGAAGTGACATGACCCCCTACATCACAAAACTAATATATGATGGAGCCCAAAGTGGTCTCAGGGCTCCCAAGTCAGGGCTCTTTCCTGTAGACCAGCCCCACCCCAAAATGGAGTCAGCCCCAGGCTGCAGAGGAGCATATTCATAATAAGGACAAGAATTCTGCATGGGCTTCGAAGGGGTGCTGGTGGCATTGGGAAGCATGATTGGATGCTGGAGGATGGCTGGTATCCATCCACAAGGCAGGAGTCCTAGGGGAGGTTGTCTGGGAGGGAAGAGACGGAGCATGGCAGATAGGAGGAGAGAAGTGTTTTATTTTATTTTAATGCATTTTTTAAACTATCAAGCATTTTTTTCTCCATTCTGTCTCACATAACCTCCACTGGGAAAAAGAAAAAAACAAAAGAAACATAACCCCCTTGCATTATATAAGCACAATCAAACAAAACACATTCCCACACTGGCCATCTCCAAAACTGGGTGTGTCATTCTGTGTATTAATCCATCACTATTCTGTCCTAAGGTGGGCAGCATTCTGCCACATCACCAGGCCTCTGGAATCATGGGCAGTCACTGAGTTGAGCAGAGGTCTTGAGTCTTTCAGAAGGGTCCATTTTTACAATATTGATGTTATAGTCTAAATTGTTCTCCTAATTCTGCTCACTTTTCTCCGCATTAATTCATACAAGTCCCCCTTTTTTCCTCTGATGCCATCATCGTCCTCATTTCTTACAGCACTATAATATTCCCTTTCATTCATGTGACATCATTTATTCAGCCATTCCCCAGTTAATGAGCACCCCCTTAGTGCCCAGCTGTTTACCACTACAAAAAGAGCTGCTATAGGTATCTTCGTACCTATAGGACCTTTTCCTCTCTCTCTGACCTCTTAGGGGCATGAGCCGAGCCCTGGTATCACTGGGTCAAGGGGTAGGTGCAGCTGAGTAACTTTGGGGGCATAGTTCCAAATTCCTTTCCAGAGTGGCAGGAACAATTCCCAGGTAGTTTCAAATATTCAAGGCAGCAGAGACCGGACCTGAAACCTGAGTGAAAGCAGAGGGGACAGAGAGGAAGGGTCTATGAAGGAGGATAGGAAGAGGAACACATGACTGGAATGGAAAATAGCAGGAGCCAGGAGCAAACATTTGGGTGGAACAGTTGAATCTTGCTTTCATTTCAGAAGTGGTTAGCAGGGACCTATGAAGTAAGAGCTACTGACTTTAAACTCCCAGGGCCTGGGTTCAAATTCTTACTTTAACACTTACTACCTTTGGGCAAATCACGTCAGCCTCTGGGGCCTCAGTTTCCCTATCTGTAAAATAAAGGGATGGATTCTGAGGTCCCTTCCAGCCCTAGATTTATGATCCCATACCGCCGTGATGCCTGCCTATTTAATTAAGCCTGGGCTTCCCCCCGCCTGGCAGCTGCATGTGGAGGGGTGATCCGGAATGCCACGACCGGCCGCATTGTGTCCCCCGGCTTCCCGGGGAACTACAGTAACAACCTCACCTGTCACTGGCTCCTGGAGGCTCCGACAGGGCAACGTTTACACCTCCACTTTGAGAAGGTCTCCCTGGCAGAGGATGACGACAGGTAAGACGCCAGGCCCCAGGGTTTACCCTCGTCAGTTCGGTTCCATGAGCGCTAGTGTTTTCATCTTATTTTTATTGTTCTTATGTTTTTACGTTCCCTGCATTTCTGAATCTATCCCTTCCCCAGTCCAGCGGGCCACCCCTCATAAGACGAACTGAAAGAGAAAGAGAGGAAAAGGAAAAAAGGGCATTTCAGCAAAACCAACAGACACATCAGTGTAAAGAACCCAGGCTCCAGAGGCAGAGGACCTGGGTTCAAATCCCACCTCTCTCACTATCTATAGGGTTTGGGGCCTCTGTTTCTCCATCTATACAATGAGAGGGTTGAACTAGACAATCTTTGAAGTCTCTCCCAGCCTGAGCTCTATAATCCTATGAACCAGACCTATAGTATATACAATATTCCACACCCATGGTCCCCCACCCTCTGCCTTTTTCTCAGATCTTCTCTGAGACCAAGCTTGGTTGTTATAATTACTCAGATGGAACTTTTCCAATGAGCATTTTAAAAGCACTTACTTTTGTGCCAGGCATAGTGCTATGCCCCGGGGAGACCAAAACAGAAATGAAACCCTCCCTACCCTAAAGGAGATTGCATTCTATGGAGGGAAACATTACACAGTTAAGTAAATTAAAAGTATCTGTGAGGCAAACACAAGGTAATCTCAGAGAAGGGGGCTGGTGGGTGAGGGCAATCAGGAAAGACTTCATGTAAGGGGTGGCTTTAAAGAAGCTGAGAAATAAAAAAAAAAGGAAAAAGAAAAAAGAAGCTGAGAAGTTCTAAACACTGACCTAAGAGCCCAATGGTTTGCCCAGCTGACTTGTCAGAGTTTCCAGGACTAACCCTACAGGCCAGGGTAGAGAAACTAGTTCTGTTCTAGTATCCTTGTAGCTAAAAAGCCTGGGTACAGCGCCTTTGGGCCCCCTCTATGGGATGGGGAGGGGACGAAAAAGCCACTCTATCCTAATCCCCTCAGCCGTTAGAGCCGCCCCAAAATACCACCCTATAGTTTGCAAATATTGTGTGCATAACTCTATGAGTAAGAGTGTAGGCTATTTAAAGGCAGCCTTTTTGTCTCCCTAGCACTTGGTACAGTACCTGACCAGTATATAGTAGGTGCCTAATGCATGCTTGTTGGTTGGTTGATTGACTGATTGATTGCTGGGGGTCCCCAGACTCATCATCCGAAATGGAGATACGCTAGAGGCTCCCCCTGTGTACGACTCCTACGAGGTTGAATATCTACCCATTGAGGGCTTGCTCAGTGCCAGCCGCCATTTCTTCGTGGAGCTCACTACAGACAGCAGTGGGGCGGCAGCAGGAGTGGCACTGCGCTATGAGGGTGAGCCAGACTTCCTCACCCGCCAAGGGCCCCACGGCTTCGCTTTCCCCCTTGCAGCAAACTCCTCGTTCTGCTCACTGGTGGTCTCTGCCACCCACTGTCTCTGTCATTCACCATCTTTCTCTCTCGATATCTTCGTCTCTGATCATCTACTTCCTGCCTTCTATCTATCCCAACCTCTATGACCACTGACCTGGTGTTGTCTCTCTCTCTCTCTCTCCTTCCCTTTCTCTCTCCCTCTCTCTCTTTTTTCTTTTCTCTCTCTCTCTCCCATCTCCTTTTTCTCTCTCATATCTCCTTTTCTCTCATCTCTCTCCTTTCTCTCTCATATCTCTCTTTTTCTCCCATATCGTCCCTCTCTCTATCTCTCTCCTTTCTCTGTCTCTCTTTCATCTTTCTCTCTCTCTCTCATCTCTCTGTCTCCTTCCCTCTCATTTCTCTCTCTCTCATCTTTCTCTCTCTTTCTCTGTTTGTGTGTGTGTGTTTCTGTGTCTCTGTCTCTCTCTTTGCATTCCTCCATGTTTTGCCTAGCCCCATCCCACCCCCTAAGGCCCAGTTTGGGGTTTTGGTAGCCATCTTTAGTCACTTAGATCCCCAAGACCCTCTAGTCACAAGGGGTGGTTTTGCAAGAGTTTCAAGGGATTAAACTCAGACCTCAGACCTCAGAGAGGCCCAAGGAGATCTTCCTATATTGCCTCGCTATCTCAAGGCCTCCTCTGTTGTGGAATATTACGCCTTGATCCTCAAAGGCCCAAAGGGTTTCACTCTCCCTATCCCATCCACCTCTAACCCCAGCAGGATACAGCCTCTTGGGCTATAGAATGAGAGATAGAGGCAGTAACAGAGACATACAGCTGGTGAGGGACCCCACTGGAATATCCCTGCGGCCACTCCCAAAAGCCAGGTGCCAGGAGGGCAGAGAGGGCAATGGGAGCCAGCCCCTGTCTCCTGAGGCAGCCCCCGTGGCTTGCAGCCTTTCAACAGGGCCACTGTTATGAGCCCTTCGTGAAATACGGCAACTTCAGCAGCAGCGCCGCCTCCTACCCCGTGGGCACCACCGTGGAGTTCAGCTGCGACCCCGGCTATACCCTGGAACAGGGATCCATCATCATCGAGTGCGTTGACCCCCATGACCCCCAGTGGAATGAGACTGAGCCTGCCTGTCGAGGTCAGCAATCAAGGGAAGGCCGGGGAACCACAGACAGGGCCTGCCAAGAGGGCACAGCTGGGTGGGCGCCCTGGGTGCTGGGGAGAGCCACATACTCGGGCAAGGAAAGGTGATCTGGTGGGGCAGGAGAGTAGGTACCAGTGGTGGGGCTGGACCAAAGAATGGGGACCACAAAAAAGGGGCCGGCAAAAGAGGAGGCCTAAGCCTCAGCCCCCTGCTCCTCTCCACCAAGCTGTGTGCAGCGGGGAGATCACAGACTCCGCTGGCGTGGTGCTGTCACCCAACTGGCCGGAGCCCTATGGCAAGGGACAGGACTGCATCTGGGGTCTGCACGTGGAGGAGGATAAACGTATCATGCTGGATATCCGTGTGTGAGTGGACTAATGGTGGGACCAGGGGAAGGGAAATGGAGGGCACCCCAAGCCCAAAGAGGACCAGAACAGAACAGAAAAGTCTGGGTTGATCGGGAGAGACAGGAATATTCCTGAGGATGCAAAGGAAAGACCTAGATCCAAATCCCACCACTCACACTCAGCACCTCTGTGGCCTTGGACAAGTCACTTAACCACCATCTCCACCATCGCTGCTCCCCTCCGGGGCCTCAGTTTCCTCTTTGGTCTAATGAGAGATTTAGATTAGGTGTAGCTTCTGAAGTCCCTCTCTAAATGTATGAGCTTATGAGTCTAGGCCACTTACACTTTCCTGGGCCTCAGTTTCCTTATCCGTAAGATGAGGGGGTGGAAGTAGTCTCAGGGCTCTCCCAGCTCTAGGGCTGTGATTCCTAAGCCCTACCTTCTCCTCTTGCCCAGTGGGTTCCCTTGGCTCTGCCCTCAGCCCTGATGGCACCCACTTCTCCCCCCTCCACCCCATCCCATCCCTTAACCTTGGAATAGGCTTCGGATCGGCCAAGGAGACGTGCTGACCTTCTACGACGGGGATGATCTAACTGCCCGGGTGCTGGGACAGTACTCGGGAACCCACAGACACTTCAAGCTGTTCACCTCCATGGCAGACGTCACCATCCAGTTCCAGTCAGACCCCGGGGCCTCTGCCGTGGGCTACCAGCAGGGGTTTGTCATCCACTTCTTTGGTGAGCCCACCTCCCCCCCACCCTCTCACTCACACCCCACACTGAGAGGCAGCCAATCCATGGCATCAGGGAGGGCTTCCCAGAGGAAGGAGACAACTGAAAAGGGAGGGGGAGAGCGTCAAAGAAGAAAGAGAGGGAAGATGGAAATGGGACGAGCTACTGAAAAAAGGGGCAGTGAGAGTGAGGAGATAAGATGCTCACACCTAGGAAGAGAAGACTAGGGGGGCACCCAAGGACAGCCGCCTGCCCAGTTTCTGAAAGGATATCATTGAGAAGAAAGTTACCCTCTGCTCTCCGTCTCCTCTGAGTACCCACTAAGAAAAAGAATGCACTCTCATTGCAACAGGAAGACTTTAAGTCAGATAGCAGAAAGAACTTCCCATCAAGGCAGAGAGACACATGGCCCACCACATTGTTTCATGTATTCAGAACTGAAAGGGACCTCAGATGCCATCAGTCCAACCCCCTCCCCCATTTTACAGATGAGGCAACTGAGGGAGGCCAAGTGACTTGTCTGAGGTAGCATAGGGAATAAGAATGGTGGAATTCAAACCTGGTACTCAGATTCCAGAAGCAACAGATTCTGATGTACTAACAATGCCATCTCATAAGGCTGTGGGATTTACCTGAAATCCCACAAGTAATTAATGATGGAGCTAGGTCTCGAACCTACGTTCTCAGACTCCAAAAACAATGCTCCTTGGAGGCTTCCAGTAAACGTTGGTTGATTGATAGGAAAAGGGCCAGACCAACATGATAGAGGGGAAGGAGCACTGGAGCAAGAGTCTATAGACTTTGTTCCAGGCACAGCCCAATTATTAACTATCTGTGTGACCTTGGACAAGTCACCTCCCCTTGGTGGGCTCCAGTTATCTCATCTCTGAAGTGTCTCAAAGCTCTAACATTCTGGGGACAGGCCTTGAGAAAAATGCAAAGCTGAGGTTAGGGGGTGGGCCACTGGGGCAGGGGCACAGCCAGGGCCAGCACTAAAGGAAGATGGAGGCATGTCTTTCCATGATGTCCTTTAACGATAGATGAGACACAGCTGCAGCCCTACTCCTTACACACACACATCATTATCTAGTGAGATACAGGTTCTAGGAGCAAGGAGATGACTGAGGTGACCTGGGGAGTAGAGGGAGGGGGAGGGAGGGGTAGAGAGACAGAGAGAGAGGGGAAGGGAGAAAGAGAAAAAAGAAGGAAGGAAGGAAG